TGTCAACATATTCTGTTACACCAAATACACAAAATAATGATCTTTAAAAAAGCATCATATGACCCCTTTAAGGGAAAATGGGTATGCATTCAGAAAATTCACATATTGTGCTCAGTATGCATATGACAGAAATAGTATTATGGTATTAGTATATTAGAAATAGTGTATGGTATTTTGAACACAGCCAGTGTGTTTGTTTTACTGTGTGTGTGTGTGTGTGTGTGTGTGTGTGTGTGTGTGTGTGTGTGCACGTTTGGTGAATTGCGCTGTGAGGGTTTTATATTATTTCGATTCATGCCTGTCACTTACATAAACATTCATTTATTAAAAAGCATTGCTCTCTAGATAACACACAGCACACAGTCTGCCTACACCTCTCCAGGGAAATCCTCTCTGGCTAACCAGCGATCATTGCACTATGTTTTTGTGCTGGATAATGGGCTGAATTAGTTTTTGATCATTTAGAGGGCCGACGAGTGATCGCAGCTAAATTATAGAACGCAGTCGTGAGTGTCTCTCTCTGTGTGCCTCACAAACAGCCGCTGTATGGTGTTATCGGTGTGATTTAGTGTGTTTGGTGGCGTGCCAGTGAGAGGAGGGAACTGACGCCGCGTTCGAGGCTAATTTACAGGCCTCTGACTGAAGTGGCGTAAGTCTCCTGAGACCGGCGCTGACACACACTCGGATGCCTCTTTAAACGCCAAGAAAAACATTAGGGGTCTCCCTGATCACCATTAATATTATACAGACTGATGCAGGACTTCATTATGATGGAAACACCTGTAGTTCCTGTGCTGCTAGCGCCTCCTCTGGTGAAGCCAAGTATTGTTGCTCTCAACTTAACAAAATACAATACAAAGTACTGAGTACTGAGGAGATGTGTGTGTGTGTGTGTGTGTGTGTTTTTTAAATAATGTATGTATTATCAATTATTAAAATAATTTAATATTTAATTATGTATATATATTTTAAATATGTATTTGAATATATATGAACAGTTATAATATATTAAAATATTACAATAAAACAGATATTTGTATATATATTTAAAATATAAATTATTTTTATTAATAATAATATTAAGAATGATTAATTATATAAGTATGTTTTTATGTATTTTTATATTTTATTGATATACTTTCCGTACCCACTGTATGTTAATATATAACTTCTTCATATTTTTAACATGCACCTTAATACATTATATTATATTATATCTAAAAATGAATCATATGTTTTGTAAAGTTTTACTTTACTTTCACTTACTTACGTGTGTGTGTGTGTGTGTATATATATATATATATATATATATTACAATGGAATATACTATATATACACACAAAATATTTACAAATTAATATTTAATATATCTCTGTTTTCGTTCAAGTATGTAAATTAAGCTGTTTTTTTTAATATTATTTGTATATTAGAAAATTTAAGGTCATACCCCTCATACCCTAACTAATATAATCATTGTTTATGTGCTTGACAAATAATACTTTAATTTATAATGTTCATCGCAGCAGCTGTGTTTTGTTGATATCTTGTAGTGTAGCTAACTAACTGCTCAAAATAGTAGCTTTAACAGTCAGCAGTGTAACTAGTAGTTTGTATAAAGCAGCTTCCAGCACCGCTGTACCATTTGGTGAACTTTCTCTTGAAACCCCACTTGACTCGCTCAATATTCTGCTCAAAATAGTAGCTTTAACAGTCAGCAGTGTAACTAGTAGTTTGTATAAAGCAGCTTCCAGCACCGCTGTACCATTTGGTGAACTTTATCTTGAAACCCCACTTGACTCGCTCAATATTTCTCAGATGTTCCGGGTGGCTTATTTGGTCTTTCTCTCTCTTTTTCGCCTCAAACACGTTTTTTATTTTCTCTCGTTCTCTGGTTAATTAGGGCTGGAGTAAAACTCAGCGCTCGCCAAACACACACACATGCAATTAACTCAGCCAGGAAGAGCTAGCAGACTAATAAGGAGAAGACACAGAGTGAAAGAGAGAGAGAGAGAGTGTGTCTGAATGGACAAGCCTTCTAGCTGTTGGCACGTTCTTCTGGCCCATATGCGGTTGCTCTGGAGGCTTGTGATTACCCAGAATGCCCAGTGAATGAGAATCAAACAGCAAGTGCTCTGCACTGGAGTAGCAACATAGCTGCGCTCAAATATTAAAGCAGAGGCAGATATAATGTGGAAAGCAAATAATCTCGGAGACGGAGATAATGTATTCACACACACACAAACACACACACGCAAGCTTTGAAGTGCGATCTGATGCTTGTATCTGTATGAAGTGCTTGAATCAGCATGAGCCAGATTACAGCTGCTGGATCACTGAGACGCTGGAATGAATCTCACGATGCCCAGGTCATAATTTACTCCAGCATCAAAACAACACAAATAAAATATTATTAGGGCTGTGAATTTAGTGTATTATTTAGTCAATGAATTTAAAAAATATATATTATTTAAAAATCTAATAATTATTAGAAATATATGTTTTTAATTACTTGGAAGAATATCTATTAAAAGTTGATTTATTTGC